TATATTATTTTATTTGTATTTGTGCATACACACACGATCGATTATTGATTATACACAAATTTTGGTTAATAATACAAAAAAAGGAAAAAAAAAACATTCGAATTCAAAAGAGTTTCATAGACAATATGTCTGAGACAATCAACAAATGTAGTATTAGCATTTTAAAGTATTCCAATTAATTGTTGACTGTTAGAATCGTGATACGCACTCGCAGCTGTTTCTCGTCCCTACTTTTAAGAAACAAAAAAGGAAAACGTCAATAAATAAATAAATAAATAAAAGCCAGCTCACAATATGACTGCCAACCTTATTTTTAATTCTTACTAGTATTCATCAAGTGCACATGCACAAAGAAAAATAAAAAACTATGTATTATATGTACGTGTACAATATTTCATTTTTAAAATGATAATGAATATATTACATTTTAAATTTCGACTATATGCAAATATACAATGTAAAAATAAATTATTTAACTTACGTATAAATCTTTATATTAATGCCATAAATTTTAACGGACAATATAATTTTGTAATTTAGAGGGACCATACAATTAATTAGTTAGAAAAGTATTATAATTATTTTAGTTATTGTTATAGAAATTGTTTATGTGATTTTAAAGTGTTCAATTATGACACTCATGCCAATTAACTAATAGTAGTAGTAGTAATATTATATAATTAATTAGTTTAAATTATCATTACACTTTATTAATATAAAATGTAATATTTCCACATTAATTGAAAAAATGAGGGAGAAAATTATGAAGATTTTATTAATTAGGTTTTATTTATTGCTCTCCCAACAATTATAAATTATTGAGTTATTCGTATGCATATAATGATTAATGATTTTTTTGCACTTTTTTGCAGGCCAAATTTATAATTAAAGAAGCTGGAATATTTATTTTTTTTTTAAATTGTGTTTTTTGTATTAGATGTAATGTATATTTTGGTATGTATTTTTTTTGTAAATTATTTAATATTTATTTATGAATTTCAAATACATTTTTTATTTTCCAAAAGAAGTTATTTTAAGTGTAACCACAACAATGACATCTAATCACATTATGGTCATCTGTAAATAAATCAAAAGTTTAAAATGATTTTTGTAATTTTGAAGTGATTGATGTGTTGATTATCTAATAATTAAATGAGAGGTTAAATAAATAAAAAGTAACGGTTTTTGGAGGAAAAAATAAGTGATATTGCCACATAGGTATAATTTAATAAGTTTTATTAAATGCTCATGAGCCAGCAATTATATATATAGATTATTATTATTATTTTTTTGGTACAATTCTTATTATTTATTTTCACTAATTATTGGCTCATTGGCTGTACCGAAGCTGTGAGTTGCAAGTCTGTGACTCAGAAAGCCGAATGCTTGCGCAAATACCTTTGGATATTTTTTATCAAGATTTTGGGCTTCATATGGGCTTGTTCTCACGTTCGGCCGGTGTTGTTACCTAGAATTAGCCGGCCCCATATTGACTGTGCACCACAACTGACTGTATCCGTGCACATGCCATCAGCTTTAACAGGGACGTATCCTAAAAATTAATTTTCACAAAAATTACATAATAGTTTTTCTTCATATATTCACTGAAGTTGTGCTCAACAAGCTTCTAAAAAAAAATCATATTTTGCACCGGATTCGATGTGCTTCACTAGTTTGATGTCGATCCCGTTTTTAAAGAACATTGTCTTGGGTGAAGGTTGGTGCTCCATGTGAATTTTTAAAAATTATACAATACAAATAAATAGAATTTTCATGTGACGTAATTATTAGCAAAATGAAATGCCTACACATCATAAATTATATTCAATTATGATATACAATAATCACGCTAGAGGATAAGAGATTAAAAAAAGCATGCACAAACGCACAATTACTACTTAATACACAATCAACAAAACAAAATTGCAACCAAATGATCTTATCATTTACTATAAAACATTAAATAACTCAACTAAAATGAGAAGATAGATAAAGATAATTAAACATATAATAAATAGCTAATAGGGGATTTTAGAAATATAACTTTCTGTTGTAAATCAAATCGTCTTCCTGAAAGTAGAACCTTCTTGTTGT